ATATTGATGGTGAGACTACCAATAACTAAGTGGGTTCCCTATACAACCATGTCATAATCTTACTCCAAAACTAAGCAGCAGCTGGAATAATAATAATTTAATTTTTGCTGTTAAACATAAATGCACCGTTATGAGCTATTCTACCAATAATGCACTGTAAAAGAGTACAAACTCTTCTGTGTATATTTCAAAATTTTGACTTGACATTTGAATGTGATTCAAAGTTTCCGTGGTGTTTTTACATAACAAAGTCATTCTCAGCCAGTAGCAGCCTTGGAAACATAATTCAAGATTAAAGCACAGAAAATTCTATGTAATGCTCTCACTCACAAAGGAAATGGAAAATGTACTGACTGCTCTCAAATCTAAATGCTATTTATGCAGGTTCTAAGGAATAAAACGCATCCAAAAATTAACTCTGTATATTGTTTTAACATACTGTATGTGCTCTTAAGGGATAATCCAATGATTTTCAAATCCATGCTGTTGTTTTTTTTTCTACTATTTTCTTGGAAGTGAAAGTGATAATTTTCATAAATATCTAAAGAATAATCTATTCAACCTTAGCAACAGGGCTGGTCTATGAATGCAGTGGGCTCCCGTTTTTGAAAAAAAATATGAACAAATTGTTATTGTGGACTGGTAAGGAAGAACCTGGCCCACACATCCACTGGCACTAGTCAGCACCTACCACCCTTATCTGTAGAGCATCAACAAATGTCATATTAGTGTCCCCCTACTGTAAAGCATCACTATCACCACTGTGTTCCCTTACCATTGAGCATCACTATCACCATTGTGTCCCCTTACTGCAAACCAACACCATCACCACTATGTTTTATTACTGCAGACCATCACTGTGTCCCCTTACTATAGACCAGGGGTAGGCAACCTTTGAGAGGTGGCGATCTACCTAAGCAACATGGAATGGATCAAAGGTCACAGGGGTGCTCTCATGTGACAAGTGGTGCCATGGCAGGCACACTCAGGAGCTGGCGACATGTCTGATCACGATCTACCTGTCAGCTGGCCACGATAGACAGGTAGATCGTGATCAACGGATTGTCGACCCCAGCTAGACCACCACTGTTCAAACAGTGAGCTGCAGCAACACATGACAGGTGAGGCTGCAGCTGAAAGGATGCCGCTGGTGAGGAGCATTTTCCGAATTGAACCCCCATGAGTGCATAGTGGGCCCCCTCCCTCTGGGACCCAGATGCACCACATACAGTCAAGTCCATAAATATTGGGACATCGACACAATTCTAACATTTTTGGCTCTATACACCACCACAATGGATTTGAAATGAAATTAACAAGATGTTCTTTTACTGCAGACCTTCAGCTTTAATTTGAGGGTATTTACATCTAAATCAGGTGAACGGTGTAGGAATTACAACAGTTTGCATATGTGCCTCCCACTTGTTAAGGGACCAAAAGTAATGGGACAGAATAATAATCATAAATCAAAATTTCACTTTTTAATACTTGATTGCAAATCCTTTGCAGTCAATTACAACCTGAAGTCTGGAACGCATAGACATCACCAGACGCTGGGTTTCATCCCTGGTGATGCTCTGCCAGGCCCTCTACTGCAACTGTCTTCAGTTCCTGCTTGTTCTTGGGGCATTTTCCTTTCAGTTTTGTCTTCAGCAAGTGAAATGCATGCTCAATCGGATTCAGGTCAGGTGATTGACTTGGCCATTGCAGAACATTCCACTTCTTTCCCTTAAAAAACTCGTTGGTTGCTTTTGCAGTCTGCTTTGGGTCATTGTCCATCTGCACTGTGAAGCGTCCAATGAGTTCTGAAGCATTTGGCTGAATATGAGCAGATAATATTCCAGAAACACTTCAGAATTCATCCGGCTGCTTCTGTCAGCAGTCACATCATCAATAAATACAAGAGAACCAGTTCCATTAGCAGCCATACATGCCCACGCCATGACACTACCACCACCATGCTTCACTGATGAGGTGGTATGCTTAGGATCATGAGCAGTTCCTTTCCTTCTCCATACTCTTCTCTTCCCATCACTCTGGTACAAGTTGACCTTCCAGAACTGTGAAGGCTTTTTTAGATGTCGTTTGGCAAACTCTAATCTGGCCTTCCTGTTTTTGAGGCTCACCAATGGTTTCCATCTTGTGGTGAACCCTCTGTATTCACTCTGGTGAAGTCTTCTCTTGATTGTTGACTTTGACACACATACACCTACCTCCTGGAGAGTGTTCTTGATCTGGCCAACTGTTGTGAAGGGTGTTTTCTGCACCAGGGGAAGAATTCTTTGGTCATCCACCACAGTTGTTTTCCGTGGTTTTCCGGGTCTTTTGGTGTTGCTGAGCTCACCGGTGCGTTCCTTCTTTTAAAGAATGTTCCAAATAGTTGTTTTGGCCACGCCTAATGTTTTTGCTATCTCTCTGATGGGTTTGTTTTGTTTTTTCAGCCTAATGATGGCTTGCTTCACTGATAGTGACAGCTCTTTGGATCTCATCTTGAGAGTTGACAGCAACAGATTCCAAATGCAAATAGCACACTTGAAATGAACTCTGGACCTTTTATGGACCTGACTGTATACTGATTACTGAATGTTTATCAAGTGATCGCAAAATCCTCTTTCTCTGGGCTCCTATGCTTCTCTCCATTCTGTATTAAAAGAAGAGAAATCTGCATGGCAATTAGTAGACAATTACAATCACATGACTCCTCCTTTAGATTTCAGCTCAAAGCATTCTTGCGTTCAATACATTAAGGGTATGAATAAGGGTCAGGTGGAAAGTATATCCAATTTGAAACTAAGGCTGCATTCACACTTGAGTGTTTTGTAGCTTGAAAAAATCAATTGTTCTCTATGGTGCCTGTTCTCATTGATCACGCGAACAGGCACCATAGAGAACAATTCATTTTTTAAGTTTGAGCTTTTTTGAAGCTTCAGGCTTCGAGTTTTAAGCTACAAAACCCTCAAGTGTGAATGCAGCCTAAGATCAGGAACACAAGGTCAAAGCCTCAAACTAACAGGAGAAAAAACACATAGCTAACCTTAGAAAGTAATATTTTACCAAAGGAATGGTTGATGCTAGGAACAGACATTCAGCTGATTTAGTGAGTCAGTCAACATTAATTAAATTTAAATGTACTTGGGACAAGCATACATCTCCAGTATAATCAGAAATAAAAAGAAGAGACATTACTGCCCTGCTGCCTCACAGTGTTCAATGCTTTGTTTTCATTTAGAAATTGCTAGGCATTCTCTCAATGGCAACTGTGCAACTGGCTAATGCACAGATGGACAGTATAAGGGAGGTGAAAACCTAATATGTAGGTCACATAGAGAGGCAAGCTGGAGTTTAGATGCGAAGGAGAGAAGCGGCAGTGAAAGGGTTAAAAAAAGTCCCTATTGTTGCTACTCTGTCTGTGTGGTGGTCACAGCAACTAAACAATTATTCATTCAATAGTTACTCTTTCCTCCTTTTCTCTGTTGTGAGATGAAGATGAGGGCTCATCGCAGTAATCATAAGGTACAGAGCTGCTTGGATTGGCTCTGCACACTGTGTCTGGGAATGGAGCGGACTGAGGTCAGCTTGGTAAGCCCACATTAACAAGCAGAACAATTGCCAAAAGTTAGTTTATAAACGTCAATCCAGAAATAGACATCTACTTCCTTGCCATTTGTACAATATGATGATAGGGAGGTTGTTGAATGGGATCTGGAGATTTTCTATGTAATGGAGAACATTTATAAGTGTTTTCTGCACCTAAACGTTGTTCATAAATATGTACCTTTTTTTGGAAGCCCTCCTGAAATATAACAATACACTTCCTGGTATGTAAGGGTACCTAGGTATGCCAGTGCTTACAGCCTCATAGCTGGATATCTACAGTGTAGGATCTGTTGATCTCGATCTGTTCTCCTCGCTGGAGGCTCTGACATGAGGAAGCAAAACCCTGCCTCTACCAGGATGCCCACTTCTACGCAGAGACAGTACAAAACAAGGCATGGTAGGTCATAGATGGGGTAAAGCTCAGCTGCAGGGAGACCACACATGGCACTGGTGACCAGTGCTTTACCCTCTGCCTTGTGGAGGTTGTAGAGCAGTTATCTGTGAAAGGACTAATGTTCTTCCGATTAACTTGTTGGAATAGAGGACTGAAAATGGGAGGATGATGAGAGAAAAATCATAAACAATGTAGGTTTCTAGGTTTGTTCTATAGCTTTGTTCATGATGGTTTTCCAGAACCACTTACCTAGTCACTGTTTACTAAACACCTGACCTCCTAGCATTACCTTGATAAATTCACACATGGGCAATGGTTTGTAATGGAAAGAGGTGCATTGATGATTAAAAATGCACTAAAATTTTTGTAACTGAACAAAACAAAATCAGTTTTCTGAAAATGGGAGGATGATGAGAGATAATCATGAAAACAATTAGGTTTATAGGTTTGGTCTATAGCTTTGTTCATGATGGTTTCCCAGAACCACATACCTAGTCACTGTTTACCAAACACCTGACCTCCTAGCAGTACCTTGATAAATTCACACATGGGCAATGGTTTGTTATGGACATGGGTGCATTAATGGTTAAAAACACACTACAACTTTCATAACTGAATAAAACAAAAACAATTCTCTGATATTGTACTTCACAACAATATATGTAATATATTGCACTATCTATCATGAAATGAAAGGTTCAATTTAATGATCATGAATGAGTTCTCAATGTTATTCTTCTTTTCTAGTTTTCATTATGCAATTTGCCATTCTCACGATTTGCCTTACTAAATGTGCTTCAATGTATACCTATAGATACGCCTCCTGCTGTATGTCTCCCGATGAAGCAGATTTTTAATCTGGGACACATGTTAATTGTTCTTATCCACTGCAAAAATCAGCTTCTGCTGAATGGCAATATTCACTACATTCAGAAATATAAAGATATTTAAATTCTCTGAGTAGTGGAGTGTTTAGCTTTGTAAATACGGAGGAAATTATTTAATGTACATGCAGGGGCGGACTGACAACTCATGGGGCCCCCGGGCAATAGGGGATCATGGGGCCCCTGTGTCCTTGCCCAAATGAAAAACAGCCTATGAAAAAGGTACCATGGGCATCTCATGGGGCCCCCTACTGACCCCGGGCCCTCGGGCAGTGCCCGAGTTTCCAACTGGTCAGTCCGCCCGTGTACATGTAAATCTTTGGGTATTACTGTATGTGCCTAATTGAATTTAATAAGGAATTTCATTATATTTTTTGTGCAGAATATTTTTAAATGTATGTGGTATACTTTGTTACACATTTATTTGGCACCTTAAAAGTCAAGTAATTGTTCTTTTGCCTTGTATTGAAGTAATTTTCCCCATTACTGTAACCAGAAGGAATGATCTGCCTGCTTCTGATTTATATTTACAGATATCTCTTCATCTTACAGTTCTCATCACAATCTTCCCCTGTGTGTAACACTTAGGACATTAATGTCCTTATACCTTGTTTGCCTCTATTCTCTATAATTATGGTATATATTGGTGTTTTAGAAATAAATGATGCTTTAGATTGAAATTATATAAGCGTGAACATTTAAAAAAATTAGTCTTCAATCAAAATGACATTTCCCTGACATTTTGGACCAAGTGCGTTCATCCATTGTGCAGCTTCCAGGTAATCGAATGCAAATTTTTTCTAATATTTTCCAATAATATGCTGCATCAATTTTCACAAAATGTCCTGTGCTGTTGTAGCTAAAACAACCAAAAACAGCAAATCCACTTCCAAGCTTCATGTTAGGGATGTTGACTCCTTATCAAACATAGAGGTGGATTTACAAAAACTAGATAGTGCAAAATCTAGTGCAACTGTGCATGGTAGCCAAGCAGCTTCTAACTTCAGCTTGTTAAGATTTGACAAACAAAAAACCTGGAAACTGAATGGTTTCTATGCAGAGCTGCACCAGATTTTCACACCCCAGTTTTAGTAAATGAAGCAGATTTTTAATCTGGGACATGTGTTAATTGGTCTTATCCCACTGCAAGAATCAGCTTCTGCTGAATGGCAATATTCACAACATTCAGAAATATAAAGATATTTAAATTCTCTGAGTAGTGGGGTGTTTAGGTTTGTAAATATGGAGGAATTTATTTAATGTACATATAAAACTTTGGGTATTACTGTATGTGCCTAATTGAATTTAATAAGGAATTTCATTATACTTTTTTTGTAGAATGTTTTTTAAATGTATGTGGTATACTTTGTTACACATTTATTTGGCACCTTAAAAGTCAAGTAATTGTTCTTTTGCCTTGTATTGAAGTAATTTTCCTCTCTTTATGCAGCTTCCAGGTCATCGAATGCAAATTTTTTCTAATATTTTCCAATAATATGCTTCATCGATTTTCACTAAATTTCCTGTGCTTTTGTAGCTAAAACATCCAAAAACAGTAAATCCACTTCCATGCTTCATGTTAGGGATGTTGACTCCTTATCAAACATAGGGGTGGATTTACAAAAACTAGAGAGTGCAAAATCTAGTGCAACTGTGCATGGTAGCCAACCAGCTTCTAACTTCAGCTTGTTAAGATTTGACAAACAAAAAACCTGGAAGCTGAATGGTTTCTATGCAGAGCTGCACCAGATTTTCGCACTCCAGTTTTAGTAAATCAAATCCTTAGTGTTTATGGTTGTGACCAAAAATGTAATTTCAGCCGTACCACTCCAAATTATTTTGTTCCAGAAGCAAATATGTGAACACAGCTGTATAGAGAAGGTTTAATAAAATGTTGGGTTTCAGCACTTTTTTTGTCTGAAAGGAGCATTTTGAGATTCATGGAAACTGAGATGGAAAGAATGGTCAGACGTAATCACAAGCCCATGAACATGACCCATAGGAGTTTGCTTTGTTTTACTAAGCTGTACTACGAACGTAATAACTAGAATTTGGCTGCTACTGTATGTACTACACTGATAGTTTTCATTGTCCTATCTGTAAAGAGATGGAAAGACTGATTTTTTATTTCGGCTACAGATTAATTTGAGTCCCCCAAATAAAGGTCAGTTTCCAATATGTTACATTTTGTTCAACACTGGCCAAGGTCATTGGGATCTGAGGTCAGCATACTGTACAATATTTTATCCAGGCTTACAACACACAGCAATCAACAAGGGAATAACAAGTGAGTAAGTAATATTGTGTCCGGACAGAGGAAACAGGACTGATTTTTGTGTGAGGGTGTAGTAGACATTAGCTCATCAAATTCCACTACCGTGATTCTGAGCTTTCTAGGCATGTGTCCAAAACTGATACACATAGGCCCAACTCAAATAATTAGATTCAGTACAAGTCCATTATCTCCCAATGGACACAGAATAACTGAGAAACAGTTGCTTTTTTGTCTGCTCCACAGTGAAGTAATTTTTTGCCAATAAAGATTAGCAGTTATGCAATTTAGTAGTTTTGTAGTAGCACCACATGTGCTACTATGAAACTATGAAATTCACAGTACATACTTCATGGAGAGTAAATCGTTACACGATATTCAAACAAATGTGATGGAATAAATGTAGAACTAATTTAGTTCATTTTTTTTATTTACATAACGGTATACGGAAACGGGAATAATGGTAAGAGGTTTTACTTATTGAAACTTATGGCCAATTTACTGTTTGGGTTTGACTTCACTTGTAGGGCAGCTTTTAATCAGTACACAGTGCAGAATTTAACCTCCCTGGCGGTATGATTATTTCAGATTTTTGGTGCTGAAAGCGGTACCATTATTTTGCATGGAAATTTGGCGTTTTATATTGTAGGCCTGTAATTCTTAGGAATAACTCACTGAAATCTGTCCAAACGAGTCTAGTAAATATCGCGGGTAGAATAAAACTTGAAACACGAAATCATAAATTATAATTTAATAAATAATCATAAAAATAATAATATAATAATAATAAATTTAATTCAATAATATAATCAAACCAAAAACACTGAAATTTGAAATATAGCGCCAAGTTCGCACATCACTGAGCAAAGTCGCAAAATCGTTTTCAGTGACCGATGACGAATTTCCCCACGAATCATTATCACTCAATTCTGCAAGTAGTTCTAATTTACTATCGCTGTTCTCTAGCTGGTCTAAAACCGCTTTTGACCTAAAGGGACGCTTTTTGGAAGCCATGGACATTTCTCAGTTTTCCAGGTAGAAAGAACAGTAAAAATGCAGGCAGGGCACAGGACAAAGTACTAGGGACAAAATGTATGTGAAATGGTTTGATACAGTAATGTTTTACTATGTGATTTTTGTGAATGTCACTTTTTGTCATTTTCACATTTCCCGCCGTTCCATCCCTGTACGTCCCGACGCTCGCAGAGGACAGAACCCAGATGACAGATGCCGGCATCCGCCGGATTACATCGCCGGGGACACTGCAGGAGGGACATCGCGGGAGTGCAGGACAAGGTAAGTGACCGAGGGATCGCGGAGAAGCACCGCATGGTATTCCCGAGTGTAGCTTGGGGTTACCGCTTGTGGTACTGAAACTTTACCCCGAGCTACACTCGGGAATACCACCAGGGGGGTAAAGAAGCACATAAAGTAATTCAGCCATTAATCTAACAAGACTTAATTAAAGCAAAGCATATACAATTTTGTTATTACCACATGTTAATATATTTCATGCAAGATATATATACACTGCTCTAAACAAAAATTAAAGGAACAATCTGAAAACACATCAGATCTCAATGGGGAAAAATATCATGCTGGATATCTACAGTTGTGCTCAAAAGTTTTCATACCCTGGCAGAAATTGTGAAATTTTGGCATTGATATTGAAAATATGATTGATCATACCAAAAAATGCTCTTTTATTGAAGGATGATGATCATTAGAAGCCATTTATTATCAAATAGTTGTTTGGCTCTTTTTAAATCCTAATGATAACAGAAATCACCCAAATGGCCCGGATCAAAAGTTTACATACCCTGGAATGTTTGGCCTTGGTACAGACACACAAGGTGACACACATGGGTTAAAATTCCAATTAGAGGTTAATATCCCACATCTATGATATCCCTATGGGTTTCCCTTTGTATCCCGAACCATTCTTTTGGCAGTTGTGGCTGCAATCTTTCTTGGTCTACCTGACCTTGGCTTGGTATCAAGAGATCCCTAAACTTTCCACTTCTTAATAGGTGATTTAACAGTACTGGTTGGCATATTCAAGGCTTTGGACATGTCCTTTTCCATCTTTATAAAGTCCCATTACCTTGTTGCGAAGGACTTTTGACAGTTCTTTTCTGATCCCCATGGCTCAGTATCTAGCCTAGTCAGTGCTTCCACATAAGAGCTGACAAACTCATTGACTATTTATACACACTAATTGCAATTTAAAAAGCCACAGATGTGGGATATTAACCTCTATTTGGCATTGTAACCCATGTGTGTCACCTTGTGTGTCTGTACCAAGGCCAAACATTCCAGGGTATGTAAACTTTTGATCAGGGCCATTTGGGTGATTTCTGTTATCATTATGATTTAAAAAGGAGCCAAACAACTATTTGATAATAAATGGCTTTATATGATCATCATTCTTCAATAAAAGAGCATTTTTTGGCATGATCAGTCATATGTTCAATGTCAATGCCAAAATTTCACAATTTCTACCAGGGTATGTAAACTTTTGAACACAACTGTATACTGATATGGACTGGGTAATGTGTTAGGAATGTAAGGATGCCCCATCATTATATAGAAATGAAAATTATCAACCTACAGAGGACTGAATTCAAAGGCACCCCAAAAATCAAAGTGAAAAAATTATGCAGCAGGGTAGTCTATTTTGCTTAAATTTCATTGTAGCAACTCAAAATGGTACTCAGTAGTCTGCATGGCCCCCACGTGCTTGTATGCATGCCTGATAACATCGGAGCATGCTCCTAATGAGACAACGGATGGTTTCTTGGCCAGGGCCATGGAAAAGGGGGTACCACCAGTCCTTCTGTAGGGAGCCCAGGCATGCAGGGGGGCCCAGGCCTGGGTAAATCAGATTTAGACAGGGAAGGTGTTTAGAACAGTGGAGGGGCGATTACTGGAATTGATCCCCTGTATGGCTCTTTCTGCAGTAGCTGAAATCTGACTTCTTATCCTCTCCCTCCCATCAACTTTTAGCTGCTGCAGAGAGGGCCATACAGGGGATATATTTCCCCCTGCTGCCCAGGCCCCCCTGTGTTCC